TTAATGATAGTGTCACCTTACTTCCCACCAAAAACTGGCTTTCAAGTCTAGGAAAGCATCAGAAAGTCCCTGCTGGGCTGCCAGCTGGAGAAGTGTCACAGGCCACTGAACTCTCAAATGAGCTGTCTCTGTAACAAAAGGTCCCTTCCCCTTGGAATAACTTCAAGGGATCTCACGCTGAGACAGCATGGCTCCTTTTGTATTCCAGTTTGATTAAACTGGGAATTGTTCTATGCTCAGGGCTCTTGAGAACACCAGGTGGTGGATCCTAGAGATAAAGGGTTACATAGATCCTTTGTTAGAAACAGGCGCCCCCATTATATAACTTACAACCTCTGTGAACACAAGCCAGGAGCATCGCAGACAGCCTAATGGTTAGACACAGTAAAAAAAAAATAAATAAATAAAATCAATGAATCCAATTTCCAATTCTCTCATGGCTAAAGACGCCTGGTGGTGATTCAACATAGCCTACCCACTGGCTAGAAGTGAAAGAATTTTTTTTAAGGCACTTATACTTTGTATACATGTACGAAATTGTCAAAGAATAAATAAAAGTTATCCTACAAAACAAGCATTTATACTTTGTATACATGTACGAAATTGTCAAAGAATAAATAAAAATCATCCTACAAAACAAGTATTTATAATAAAATAAATAAATGAAAGTTGAGAAGGAATGAGTGTGTGTAAGATCTAACAGTAAGTAGTTCTCCATAGATTCTGAAGTTCGCAAAAAAGCGAATGACTAATCCTCCCGGCTATGAACTAGCCAGGGCCTGGCTCTCTCACGACTTGTCCAACCCTGTGTTCCCAGCCCCTCATACACTATGTCATTTGTTTACCGTGTTGAATAATGAATGTAATAATGATAGCGATTATTTATTAAGAACTTCTTTGTCATTATGTCAGTCTTTGATTGCTACATAACCACTTACCATAAGCCTGGTGGCTTAGGTCAACACCCATTCACTGTCTCATAGCTCTATATCTTCAGCGGTCTTGGCTTCTCGGCTCACAGTCCCACAAGACTGAAGTTGAGACATCAGCCAGGCACTTAACCAGAGGTTCTGGGAAGAATTGGCTTCTAAGCTAATCCATGATGCTGGCCCAGCTTAATTCCTTGCTGCTGTAGGATTGAGATTTCTATTGCTTTGCTGGCAGTTCAGCCTGGGTCTCTATTAGCCTCTTAGAGTTCCCCACATTCCTTCTCAAGTACCCCCATGCGTCTTCAAAGCTACCAACAAACAGCACTAAGTCTTTCTCATGCTGGAAATCTTTGATGTCCTCTTCAGCCAGCAGCAGCAGAACACGCTCTGCTTTTAAAGGTGCCCCTGTGACTTGACTGACCCCTCCAGAAAAATCTCCCCATCTTAAAATTAGCTGTGTGTGAACACAGGCAGGCTAGCCCACCAGAGTCCCAGGTTCTGCAGGGCAGAACATCATAGAGGGCACATTTAAGAAATCCTGCCTAGCCCAGGGGCAGATACTGTTCAAGGGCTTTCCATTCAATAATTTATCAGCACTTACAGCAACCCCGTGATCCCACCTATGGTGGAGCCTGTTGTCTTCTTCTCCACCTTTTAGCTAAAGCATGAACAGTAAATTGTTTGCCAAGATCTCCCAGCTACTAATGGCAGGATCTAGAGCTCCATTTGGTAGGCTGGCCTCGCAGCCACGCCTTTTACCCCGCCATTCTATGTGGCTTTTAAAACAGCTATTTCCAGAACTAAAGCGTGAATAATTGATTTGGTGTGGGACCAAGAGATGACCCTGAGGATGAACTAATTCCTTCATGTATATGGAAATTGGTGTGTGCAAGTTCTTCAATGGATTATTCTGGAAAGGAAGTCCATAAAGTCTCAGAGAGATGGTCTTAAAGAACTGCAAAAGCTGAGTAGCCCATAACACAAGTCCCCCCTTTTCAAACTTCTGGTGCTAGTGAGCAAAAACACTACAGCACAGAATGACAAACATCTGAGGCCAGTGAGGGGATAGTGCATCTCCTTTAACTGTAAGAGAGCACTATAGATAGACCCACTGTAAATAACTTCCTTAGGTAAGCCGTCCACTCTCCAGGACAAATACCTACAGTTGAGCAGGACATGAATATGCTAACAATATGCTAATTTGGATTCTAGGGTCAAAATTTATGATCGGAACATTGCAAGAAAGGAGAAGGTCTACAGCTAAAGTCTTTCCTCCCATCTGAAATGCACCTGCTGCTCACTCTTGGGCTTACTGTCTTTTGCTCAACAACAGTGTTGTACAAATAGCGCTGAATCTAGTCAAGAAGGCTTGAGTTCCACTGCTGTCTTATTCCTTGTGTGACTTTGAACAAGTCAATTTACTTCTCGAATTTTATATATCCAACTTGTAAAATAGAAAGAACAATATCTACCTCACAGAGCTTTGAATTAAAAAAAATTGAGACTTACTGGCAATAAGATACTGAATGGTTCATGTTCTCGTGTACAGAGTATAACTATAACACAAATTTCCATGCTGTTAATGAACCAGGTACCTAATGAGCTCATGGGAAGAAAGAACAGGGCTCCCACAGACACCTTCAATGAGCTTATATCCCCGTGTGAATGCCTAAGATGAACAGTGATTTAGGTAAAAGAGATCAAGAAGCCATGTGCAAGGAGACGGCTCTGTTTGGTAAAAGCACTTACTGTACAGGCTTGATGACCTGAATTAAATTCTCGGAATCCATGTCAAAAAGCCAGATACAGTGATGTTTACCAGTAATCCCAGCACTCCCGTCATAAGATGGGTGACAGAGAAAAACATCAGCTTGGGAGCCAGCTAGCTTGAAGCATACTAGCTAACAGCAGAAACAAGAGGGACCTTGCCTCAACAAGGTCTAAGGCAAGATTCAGTTCTCAAAAGTTGTCCCTTGACCTCCACATGACACTGTAGTACATGTGCACTTGCACAGACACATATACAATAAATTAATAATAATAATAATAATAATAATAATAGCCGGGCGGTGGTGGTGGCGGCAGCGCACGCCTTTAATCCCAGCACTCGGGAGGCAGAGGCAGACGGATCTCTGTGAGTTCAAGGCCAGCCTGGTCTACAAAGCGAGTTCCAGGAAAGGCACAAAGCTACACAGAGAAACCCTGTCTCAAAATAAATAATAATAATAATAATGAAGCTATGTACTCCCTTCTAATTGCAGTGGAGTGGGAAAAGGCAATGGGGAGTACATATAATCAACATATATCATATGCATGTGTGAAAAAGGCCATAAAGAAATCCATTATATATATACATATATATATATAATTATATATATAAAATTAGTCTATGCTAATTAAAAAACATAAAAACATTTAAAGAAGCTGTGTATCATTCAGTAGGCTTCTGCTGAGCAAGCATTTTGCTAAATGAAACACAGTTAAGGAGTAAAACATGGTACCAAGATCACATTCTGAGAAAGAAATGGAGGCAAAGGAAAATCATTCGCGTAGGTGGAGGAACTGAAGACCCAGTTTGTGTACTCCTCCTCTCAGTACCGTGGTTTAAGCCAACCCAATGTGTTCTAGCACAGCACGTATGAACACCAGGGTCAAGAGGGCCAGCTAGTCGGGGAGAAAACATGACTGTTCTTGGATAAATACTGAGACTTGGTTGCCTCCGGTAGGTACAACAGCAAAATGTTCTTCTCAAATTGCCATAGCTAAAGAGACGTCGGCATCATGCCAAGAGTTATAGATTATTCGTAAACCATGTGTGCTATATATATCTATAGCTAAGACAGGAGCAAGGGTTTGTTATGAGCAGATTTTGGCTTCCTGAGACGCTGAGCAGAGAATTCAGCCAAGCCAGTTCCGACTTCTAAACTCCTGGACTGGAGGAAAAGGGATGGGTGTTGCTCCGAGACAAGAGGTGTGTGGTAATTTCTTACACAGCACTTTGTCGCAACACCTTTTCAAAGCTTATAGGAAGTGACCTGCCGAGGATACCTCGACATAAAAGTGGGACCTAGAACCCATCATCTTCTGGGAGGCAGAGCAAAGAGCAGGGGCTGGAAACCCAGCAGATGGGAGCATGTGGCTTAGAGGTAGGCAACCCACTGTTCCCTCCCAGTCGCCCCCCAGTATGAACAGAAACTGCCTTTGAGTTAAGCTGCGGAGACATGCAAACCATTTCCTGAGAGAGCTATAAAGAAGGCTCGCACGCACTAGGTGAAGCACAGATGATGCTCAGCATAGTCCAACAAATTTTCCAGATCTTCATTACCTATGCAGAGTCTACCTCTCTTTCTGTACCCTGCTGCTGTCAATACCAGTGAGGAACTGACTGCCCAAGCATCATTCACTGGAAGGAAAAAAAAAAAAAAAAAAAAAAAAACACCAAACTTATTTGTATATTTAAGTGCCAAGAGAATGGCAATAAAAGACGATTGAAAGCTCAACTTGACCATTTAGTAGCCTGGTCACCTTGGACAAGTCAAGTAACTTCTTTGTGCCATTGCAACATCTCTATGCTCCCAGCCATGTGGGAAAAACAGAGCCTGAATACATACTTGTCCAGAGAGCTTTCATAGAAAGCAGGGATGGAGTCAGAAAGGACTCTCTCCTCCAGTAGCTTCCTGGTTGACCTCCTGTTCCAAGACTCAAACCCATCCCAACACTCATACTTCTAAAAACCGCATCTGCTCTCTTTTTCCCTTGCCCCAATCCTCCAGTTCTTTGGCACCTCTCCTAGAAAGGTATCAAAAATTTTAGCATGGATTCCAATGTCCTCCCATGCAACCTACATTGAGTGCTCACTTTCTCTGGTCCTGGGGACCAGGAGAAGACAAATAGTGCTTACTAAGAAATGTACATCTTGTTTGCTGAGGCAAAAGATGACTCTCCTGCTTGCTACTAAGGCCCCCTTTAGGAGCAATGAGGACTTGGTGTGTGTTGGGGGTGGGCATTACTTAGCATATGTCAAGTAGAACTTAGTTCACATGGAATCTGGAAGACCCATTCTGGGCATTAACAGTGATGTTTAATGTAAAAAAAAAAAGAACATTTCATTGAAAGCAATTTTGTAGTATTTAGGCGAAACATCACTAGGCAAAAAAGACTCCCAGTGGGTAGTTCTCAGTTGTGACTCCTTGAGAACTCTGAGAATGTCGAGTGCATGGGCAGAATGCTAACACAAAACTTGCAGAGACTATTTAGTGCGGAGGTGAAGCCTTTGGCGCCCCCCACGAATACACATCAACTTTCTTGCTCTTCGGTTTCGTAGCCTTGGCGACATGGAGCACTGTGGTAGTGAGAAAGACCTTTTGATCTCCCTGAGGAAGCTATCAAGGGATTTTAACACAGACCTCAGAGATGACATTCTGCTCCTCCACATGGCATGGGGATCATTTCACACCTGCTGGAGAAAACAGTGAGCCTGTTAAAAAAAATACATCTTTCCAGAGGAAATTGGAAATGGACTCCAAAGCTACTCTATATAGCACCCATCTACCACAGTTTTCTCGCAGGTGTCACTCACATAAACAAAAGTACAGTTTAAAGGAGAAAGAAGTAAAAGGTACTAGGATACAAAATCATCTGTATTTGACCTCCCTCCCAGATGCTATGTCCATAGTCTTGCTAGAGAATTCCATTTTAATGTCTAGTTGTATATATACATTTTACGCATTCATTGGAGATTCTGTGAAGGTGAGGGTCTTAGCTGTATTGCTCACTGCTATATCCTCAGTACATCTCGGGAGTCTCATTAAACATGTGCTGACTAATTCAGTCATCAAATAGATACCTATTATGTATCAAGCCATGTGATGGGGCTCAGGGATGTAAAAGGGATTCACTGTCTCCGCCAGGATACTCCTTCCAGCTCCAAATTCATTCTGAATGCTTCCTTGAAATATCCAACAGGCTTCCCAAACTTGATGGGTTGTCAGGTCCAAAATAGATCCCCACCCCCTGTAGTTGCCTAACTTCCTCTTAGGCCAAATTACCTCTATATTTGCTAGAAAGGTCCCTGCTTCCAAATATATTCCAATCTCTTTAAGAACTGATGTAAGATTTTTTATTATATACATTCAAAGATAGTCCTAATTTATGTATCATTCAAATGAAAGATAGAAGAGAGAAAATGAAGGAAATAAACAAGAAAAGAGAGCTGCTGAAGAGTACTAGGAGAGCCAGAGAAGTGGATTAGAAAGGAAGACAGGAAGGCCACCATGAGGCCAGAGGACTACTGCTAGATGACGAGGCAAGATGAGAAATAAAGAGAGCTGAAGAGAACCAGATAGCACGCACTTGTTATTACATTTAAAGAGACATATCATGTTTTTGGACTACAAAACCAAAGCATCCTCATAAAAACATTTTAGCTTTATTTAAATGGCTAGGAAATCACGTGAGAGCATATTCTAGGTGCCCTGATAAAAAAGACCAGGGGAACCTGAATTAGCCTAGAGTCAGCAAAGTTACCTGCCATGCATGCTGCTCTCAACCAGAGGTATTATATAGCCTCAACAGTGATGAGAGGGCCGGGTGGTGGTGGTGCACGCCTTTAATCCCAGCACTCGGGAGGCAGAGACAGGCGGATCTTTGTGAGTTCGAGGCCAGCCAGGTCTATAGAGTGAGATCCAGGAAAGGCACAAAGCTACACAGAGAAACCCTGTCTCGAAAAACCAGGAAAAAAAAAAAGTGATGAGAGAGTTCCATAACAAGGAAGACAGAAGGAGAAAGGATGTCAGCAAGAGAGATTAGAAAGAGCAACACAATGCCATTAATCTTCTGATAGACTCAAGCATGAGAAATAGTAGAAACACAGAGAAGAGTGGGAGGAATCACTTCCCAGCCTTTTGGCTAAGACCCAGTGTAGAAGATTCAGGGGAGCCCTTCTTCTCGAGAGTCTCAGAACTGAGATCTCAGGGCAACAGAATTAGCCAGATGTCAATAAATGGAAGTGTTCCCAGCTGCATCAGGAGGACCATCGGGCTTGGCTGTGGTAGTGCATGCCTTTAGAAACCCTGTCTCTAATTAATTGATTGATTAATTAACGGACCATGGGAAATAGAGCCAATGTGTGTTACTCATCTTAGCCTTCTTCGTGTGCTCCTCGCTAAGAGCTAACCTTCTATTTTAAATTGTATCAATTCTATTTGGTGATTTGAAACACTGGCCAGCATCCAGCTGTCCTTAAGTAGATTTTGCCCCTGCCAGTCTAATCCCAGATGACACTCATGTTCCCAGAGCAAGGTCCATTACTATCATAACAGTTGGTATTATCTACCACGGCCTCATAGTGACCCAGAAAAATAAATAATAAATAAATATAAAAATGCTGAAATTATGCCACTTGTTTATTTGGGTGTGAGATTCAGCTCTGTATATATGACCAGTGGGACCCCAGGCAGTCTCCATGTATCCACTGTATGTATATATTATGCCGGAAGAACTCATCTGAAATGATTTAGGTTTGAGGAAAAATCCTTTGCTTATGTCTGACTAATACAGAACGAAGAGACCGGGATCTGGGGAAAAGGTCGTTTTGTGCTTTGCTCTTAATCTTCTTGCTCAAAATTTGTTAAAGATTAGTTCAACATGAAAGCAACCTCTTGTACCCTGTGTTCCCAGCCAGTTACTCCCTGTAACAGCTCAGCGAGGTGGAGGTGGCAAAGAGAAAGAATTTGATCAGGATAGGGAATAAGCTAAACCCTCCCTGTAACTTAATATAGAAAATCTGAAAGGGCATCGTTGAAATTATCATCACTAAAGTATGCTCAGGAGCCAAAAGCACCATCTAAATCCTTACACCTGCTAAACCAGCCAGTGGATGAGCTCAAATGCCCAGGCTTATATTGCAGAGAAGAAAATGTAAGCATTTAAATTTGGGTTACCATGTTTCACAAGATCTATCCAGGCACCAAAATCTTTATGAGCTCTACATAGTTTGTCCTCAAATATCTACTTAATGAGCCAACCAGTGAATGAAGGAAGGGAATTCAACCAGAAGAATAAGCAACATACAAATATGCTTTGAGCATGAGGCATGTCAAATTTCTCATTCAAAAAATTGATGGGAGAGGCCTGCTATAAAACCAGCTGTCCTCTCAATGAAACTCTCCCAAGAGCGATGGCTAGACACTGCACACCACTGTCTTCTTCCTTCTCTCCCATCTCCATGTTCATAACTGTGTCTCTTCAATGTTCAAACCCCGGCTTTCTCCGATCTCTAGGCCCAGCATTTTCAAAGTTCCTAGATAGCTAAAAGCTCTTCATCCCTTTTGTGCAAGCGATACTCACACCACAAGCCAGCCATGTTTCCCTGACCCTCCACTGCACAGTTGACACAAGCTACTAAGCCTGCCCTGGATGCGGAGCACTGTGCCTGGGGGAGAGTCAGAATCAATGAGAAAGGCAGGCCCAGCCCCTGACCCGGACCGTTCCGTCTTCATGCAGTATGGACAGCAGATATCATTACAAACATGTTTGAAAGCTCCAGAACTCATGGCTTTAGAATTTAATCTGGTTGAGGAGAAAAGACATTTGACATTTAAAGGCAGTTGGTATTGTTGAACAGTTTGACAGTGCAAGAAGATACTCACTGGAGGTGCCTCTGGGAATACAGTTAAAGAATGTCCAATCTGAGATGGAGCTCATACCTGACTCCCCTAGATAACATCAAAAAATAAAATAAAATTGAAGTCGAATTTAGAGAGAGCTTTCTCCGGAGGCAAAACCACGGGACTTGGTGGAATTATTCAGTTCACTGATTCACAAAGTTATGGATGCATATAATTTAAAACAAGTCCCAGTTTTCTATGTGAGATGCCCAGTGGCAAAAAAGCCCATTCCATGGCTCATAGATGACTTTTTATGACGTGGAAAGTTCCACTTAAGTAAAAGAGGCTCTAACTGACCAGCGTAGGAGCGATGTTGCTTCAGGAACAGGCCCTTACCTGCACGTCACTGTCCCAGTTAGTAGACTACCCAGCAGGGTCAGTTTGCTTCCGGTGCTGACTGGTGTAGGCCTGATCCATCTGCATGGCTGCTTACCATGCATGGCTTAGCAGAATTACTTACAAGGAAACGCTGGCTGGCTCTGTTCCACTTACTTTTTAAGCTTTACTTTTTTTAAAAGGTTTTTATTTATGTTTATGTAGGGGTTTGCAAATGAATGCAGGTACCTGAGGAGGCCAGGCGCACTGGACCCCAGAAGCTAGCATTGTGACCACCCAATGTGGAGGCGGGGAAGCAGAGACACAGGTCCTCTCTGAGAAGCATGCGTGCTTAACCCCTGGACCATCTCTCCAGCCCCCATTCACTATTCCTCCAGCAGGTTTGTTGTTTGTTTATTTTTTTTTTTAATTGATCTGCCAACGTTCTGGTAGTAGAGATGAACGTCTAAAACTGGTAAGCCTGTAAATCCTGACGGGAGCTGAGAAACCTCGAGCATAAGGAAAACCTCACACTAGGAAACCAAGAGTGTTATTAGCCCTGAATAGTGTTAAATTCAGTAAAAGGAAACCATGACCCAAGTCTCTAAATAGAAACACCAGTGATGTCATGTTGGGGCTTCTTAAACGAGCAATTATGTCTACTGTACTATTACTGTCCAGTTACCACGCCCCGTTCATTAGAAACTTCTGAGGAGTTCTGGAGCCTGTGATTTATAAAGCTGCTTGTAATCTCATTTGGCTGGGGGCAAATAAGCTACACACTGCCAGAAGGTGTGTTTTATCTAAGTCCAAGTGTAGAATGCCTATCTGATTTTATGGCTCTCTTTGACACCACATCTCAAGTTCCAACTCGATCTCCTAAACAAGGAAGCACCAAGGAGACAGAGGAAAGCATCATTAAAGGGACTCTAATAAACCCTCATGTGGTGGTAATGAGGCATTTGCCAACCCCATCTGGCTGCACTCTGACTGATGTGGGTTTCTTGGGTTCATGACAAACTCAAGTCCAAGGGCTTATCCTCCAGCTCTACGGCACTACAACTTCACAACTGAAGACTGACGCTACCTCAGCTTCCACATGGACCTCTTCAGGCTTCAAGGACAGGGATGCTACTTGGGTTCGGCTTTCTCCTTGACTCCCACATTTATTTTAACGGCCCTGGACATTTGACTCCTCGGTTCCTATGCTGTTAGTTACATCTTTAAGAAAAACAAACAGAAACAAATGCGTAGTAACCCATTTAAAGTTCACAACCAAACCAAGCGGTAGCTACCCCCATAGCTCCGGTTCATAAGTGAGGGAACTGGGGCTCAGAAAGTTCCTAAGAGGGAAAATCTAGACTCACACTTGGACGGTGTGTTTCTAACAGCCTGCACTGCCTAGAGTTCCCAGATTCCGTGTTCAGTCTGCAACAACAGGTGCCCTACGATGCACATTATTAACGTGTAAAAAGAATGTTTTCATGAGAAATAAACTCTAGGGAAACAAAGCCAAGCTTTCTTTCCTCCTTTATACTATCTGATGTTTAAAAAAAAGAAAAGTTGGTGTTCAAAGCTCTGCAAAGCACACTGAAAAATGTCTCCACACCCCCCTGAAGTCTCTACATACCTTATTTTATCTTTGGCCAAAAGATATATTCCCCTCTCTGAGATCACAAAGATATGATACTGATAATAAAAAATGAATCGCTATTGTAGCTCAGCGTAGAAACAGCGCCCTGCAGTTCTGTTCTGACAGGAAATAACAAGTCTCACTTATATGAAGCATCTCCAGGTTCCTGCTGGAGCCTTTAGTGACTTTGAGTGAGCTCCCGTGGATTTATCACTCACTCATATGCCATACTCTCAAAGACTCAATGACACCATACAGGTGGGAGTTTCTAAACATTTTTCTGCACTTTCTGTAACAAACATGAAAACTAACTCCTGGTGTCAAAATGTATATCCTCTCCTTGTGGCACGGTCCCACAGCTCACAGAAGATGCTGTCTGCTTCCCGTAGAAGTCATTCTTCATTTATTGAACCCTACTCATTTATTAAAGACCAAGATGAGCAGGGTGAACAGCATCTCTTTGCTTGAGGAGCTTAACGTCAGTGTGGGACAACAGACAATATCCAAGTAAGGGCTTAGCTAGAGGCATGCATGAGTCGAAGGAAATCTGTAGGACTGCGCGTGTGAGAGGCCATGAAGTAGAGGGGAAATCAGTTGATTGGCTCATCAAGGGGGGCCTGACTGAGGTGACGTTTAGCTGAGAAGTGGATACTGAGAAGCAAGCACACATTCCAGAAGAGGAGACAGCCAAGGCAGAGTCTTCAGACGGGATCAAGACCAAGTAAAGCCTGTCCTGAGAGCTCACCATGTATGTGTGTGTGTGTGTGTGTGTGTGTGTGTGTGTGTGTGTGGTGTGGTGTGTGTGGTG